TAGAAGGATTTTCTAAAGCCTGTTTTTTGTTTCAAAAGATTTACAAAGCTAGTCCCTTCATAAAAGCGTTTTGTTCTATAAAAGCCCTTACAATATTCTTCCTTGTTTAAAGGACTATTAGAAAATATTTTATGTATCAAAGACCATAAAAAAATCCTTTAAAAGTCCTTCGTCTATAGAAATTTTTCAAATAATCTTCAATAAATAGAAAAAATGAGAATACACAGAAAGGAGCTTTTAAATAGCATATTTGTAGCAATGAGCTTTTCAGAAAGCTTTTATGGATCATTTTCAACAGGGGAGCTTTTAAAACTCTATTGTACACAACAGACCTTCAAAACTGCCTTCGGTGGAGAAAAAACGTTTGGAATGTCTGTTGTGATTTTTAAAAGCTCTCCTCTTTATAAAGATCACATAAAATCTTTTTTGGTCTCTAAAGGCCTTAAAAAGTCCTTCTGTCTATAGATGGGCTTTAAAAGATCTCTTATGTAAAAAATAACATTAAATGCTCATTGCTACAAATATTACCATTAAAGGTAATTTCTGTGTAAAAAAGCTCATTTGTATATGGACTACTTTTAAAAAAGCCGTTAATATATAGAAGGCATTTAAATAGCTCTATAAAGTAACTTAAAAAGCTTTTTGTATGTAGAGGTTATATAGCTGGTATTCTGTCTATAGAAGATCTTAAAAAGCCATCTTAGACTGCTCTCAAAAATTTTTTTACCAATGGTTGAAAACTTTCTTTGAAAAGCTTTCATTAAAATAGGGGACCGTTAAAAGCTCCTCCATGAATAGAAAACCTTTAGAAACTCCTCTGCCCACAAAAATCGTTCCAGGGCATTTTTTCTATATCTATATATATTTTGATTTTATTAGCCTAACTATGCTCCCCCAAACATCTCCTCCCCAACCCCCCTCCCCTACCGCACACATCAATTCCATTAAGGCGACACTTCCTTTCAACGAATATCATTGTTATTATTATTTGCCCGTGATGTGCCTTAATGCCTGCAGGCAAGTCACGTGCAGTCTTCTCCTTTTTTTCTTCTTCCCTCCATACACAATGACAAATAATTTCATTTTCTGTTTCCTCGCTGTTTTTTTTTTTTTTGTTTTTCTGGCTCCAACGCTCGATGCACGTCCAGTCCAGGCGAATAGAGAGCTGCAACCGCACGTCGTTGTCACCAGAGCGTAGATTTATTTAACCAAAGGCTATGAAGAGGAAGAATGTGACGTTGTGAAGAACATTGATTTTAATGAGCGTAATAAGAAAGTCAAAAGGATTTAATATTATTTTTATGACCAAAGCCAGAGGGTATGCCAGAGGGCGAGGAGATGGGGGCGGTGTGACCTCGAACAGATGGTGCAACTGTCTTGAGCAGCATCTTTAAATAATTGATGAGACATTACCAACAAGGGGAGGGGAACATTTTAGGGGATTTAAATAAAGTTGGGGAATTTTATACTTGAGCTAAATTTTCGAAATATCGGTGAGTTATGGCGGTCTTACTGCCAGTGCAGGAAGGATAGAGGACATCTTTTGGACATTTTATAGATAAATTGTCTCTCGAAAATCTTTTGTGGCCAAAAGACTATCTAAATGTTTTCTGTAGAAAAAATACATTCAAGAGGATTCTTTCGACAAAGATTATTTCGGATTTTTTAAGGATCTTTTATAAATAAATACAATTTCAAAAGACTTCTATGAGTGTTGTAAAAGCAATTCTGTGGAAAAAAGAAAAACTTTTTTGGATGGAAAACTCCGTTCAAAGGATATATTGCATAGAAGAACTTTCATGTACTTCTTTAAATAAAAGACATTTCACAGGACATCCTTGGATGTAGGATATTTTATGGAATTACTCTTGATAAAAGACTTTTAAGAGGGACTCTTTTTAATAGAAGACGCTTCAAAGAATTTCTTGGGATAAAAATATTTCAAAGGATCTCAAATCTCTCTTAAATTATCCTTTTGAAGGATTTCTATGACATAGAGTACATAAAGAGGACTTTTCACAGAACACTTATGACCAGGAGAGGTTTCAAAAGGCTGTTAAGAATAGAAGTCCATGGAAAGAACTTTTTCTGGCAGAAAAACTTTATAAAGGACTTCTAAAGATGGAAGACTTCAATGAAGTTATCAAAATAATGTCAACAGACTTCTGTGGAGATAAAGTGCATCCAAAGGACTTTTAAGGATAGACAACTGTTCAAGGGACCTTTTTGATTGGACTTCTTTGGATAACGACTTTTCAAAGGACTTTTATGGACAGAAGATCTTTCGAAGGACTTCTATTTTTTTCTTAATTCGAAAATTTTTTCACGAAGAATTCAATTTGAGGAGAAACTGGATTTCGTCTATAAAGGACCTTAAGGTCCTTTATTAAAAGACCTGGAGATCTTCTGTAAATGACCTGGAAGTCTTTTATAGATGACATGGAGTTCTTTTTTAGATGACCTGGAGATCTTCTCTAGACTTTTCTCTATGCAGGTCTTCTATAAATGACCAGGAGGTCTTCTATAGATGACCTGAAGGTCTTCCACAGAGGACCTGAAGGTCTACTATAGATGACGTGGAGGTCTTCCATAGATGACCTGGAGGGATTCTATAGATGTCCTGTAGGTCTCCTATGGTTGACCTGGAGGTCTTCCGTAGATAAACTGGATTTCGTCTATGAAGGACCTAAAGGTCCTTTATTAAAAGACCTGGAGATCTTCTCTAAATGACTTGGAAGTCTTTTATAGATGACATGGAGTTCTTTTTAAGATGACATAGAGATCTTCTCTAGACTTTTCTCTATGCAGGTCTTCTATAAGTGATCAGGAGGTCTTCTATAGATGACGTGGAGGTCTTCCACAGAGGACCTGGAGGGATTCAATAGATGTCCTGGAGGTCTTCTATAAATGACCTGGAGGTTTTCTATAAAGGACCTCTAGGTCTTCCATAGAGGACCTCTAGGTCTTCTATAGAGGACCTCTAGGTCTTCTATAGAGGACCTCTAGGTCTTCTATAGAGGACCTCTAGGTCTTCTATAGAGGACCTCCAGGTCTTCTATAGAGAACCTCTAAGTCTTCTATAGAGGACCTTTGGGTCATCTATAGAGGACCTCTGGATCATCTATAAAATACCTCTGGGTCTTCTATAGAGGACCTCTGGGTTTTCTATAGAAAACCTCTAGGTCTTCTGTAAAAGACCTTTCAAAAGACTTCTGTGGGTAAAAGTCCTTTCAGAGCATTTCTATAAATAGATGACCAATTAAAGGACTCTTTGGATAGAAATAATTTTAAAGGACTTCCATGGAAAGTAGACCTCCCCATAGATTTCTATGGATCGAAGAACCTTTTGAGGACTTCTATGGAGTGAAGATCATTTAAAGGACTGCTATGGATACAAGGGTTATTAATGGACTCCTATGGGTAGAAATCCTTTCGAAGGACTAAAGTTTCGTGGAGTTAGAATGAAGGCTATTTATATGAATTCTAGAGGACCTTTTCCATGTCTTCTAAAACCCAAGACCGTTTACATGTTTTCAAAAGCTAGAGATCTTTTAGAATATTTTAAGTACCTTCCATAATCTTCTGTGGACTCCTTTGTGTGAAATATTTTTCAGATGATTTCTGTGGAAAAAAGGCCCTTCAAAGGACTTCTATGTATAAGAGGGCTTTCAAAAGACTTATATGCAATTAAGGCTAATGATAGTACCCCTTTCCAAAAACTTCCATCTACTTTTATAGATCGAAAAGTCTTCAAAGACTTTCTTAAGAAGAAAATATTGTAAAGAACTTCAATGGTCTTTCCGAAGGACTTTCCAAAATCATCTGTCGACCGTAGGCAATTAAAAGGGCCTCTTTGTATAGAATATTTTTCAGAGGTCTTCTGTGGAAAATAGGCTTTTCAATGGAGTATTATGTATAATGGGGCCTTCAAAGGACTTCTATGCAAAGAAATTCTTTCAAAGGATTCCTATGGATAAAAAAACTTTTAAAAGGACTTATCTGGATAGAATTCTTTCAAAGGATATCTGAAGATGATAGACCTTTTGTAAATACTTTCGTTTAAAGGACTTCAATTGCCGAAGGGTCTTTTAATGGATTTCTATGCAAAGAAGACCTTATGAAGGACTTCCAACTGACTTCAATAGACAGAAGATTCTTCAAGCGACATTTATAGACAGAAGTTCTTTCAAAGGACTTTTATGAACTGAAGAACCTTCAAAGGATTTCTGTTTACAAAATGCTTTTCATAGCATTTCTATGGACCGAGGTGCTTCAATGGACTTCTATGGATAATATTCTATTTAAGAATATTTAAGGAAGGTTTTTCAAATGACTTCTATGGGTTGAAGACTTTGGAACCAGCTTTTATGGATAGATATCTCTTCAGGGATTTTCAAAAGCTTATATGAACGCAAGACTATTCAAAGGACTTTTATGGACCTTTCAAAGGATTTCTATGACAAGCAGACCTTTTAAATGACTTCTATGGATAGAAAGCAAATTAAAAGACTTTTAGGTCACGAATCCATTTCAAAGGACTTGTAGGGGCAGAAAGTCATTTGAAGGTCCTAAGTGTGCAACAGTCTCTTAAAGGGCCTTCTATAGACAGAGAAAACCCTTAATTTCTTAAACCTTAACATTTTTATTTTTAGTTTCCCCTTCACATTTCCCTATTTCTTTTCCATTGATGGCCTCCTTTGAATACCTCCACAACCTTTTTCCTAAAAGAGCAATCCAACTCTCTTTCTTTGCCTTTTGTGGTTAAGCTATTTGTGGTTAAACGCTTTATTGGCTACTCAATGGATTTTCTTTCTGTCCTTCTGCCACCGCATCGTCTACTTCTTTCTACCTCTTGATTTGATTATTTCTCCATTATATTTTCAAAATGTTCAGAAGTTCGTTCTCCATTTAATTGAATTTAAAAACATATTTATTTTCTTTTGTGGTTTAATAGTTTAATGTTTTTTTTTTTTTTTTTTTTCTACTTCGTCTCTTTGCAGATTTTCTCTTCTTTTCAAGGATTTGCATTGCAACGAAGGAATTTAAACGAATTCAAGTGAATTTTTATTTAAATTCCAAATAATTGTTATTTGGAGAAAGGAGGAAGAGGATATTGGAATTAAGGAAGCTGTCGATTTGGATTTGGAGAAAAATTATTGAGGTAAGTCATATTTTTAGTATTTTTACATTTTTTTAAAGGAAAGGATTAATATGGAGATCTCTGTTATTAAATGTTGTCATCGATGAAATCAGGTTGGAAAAATGGAGTTGCCATGATTCCTTTATCTCCAGAGGACAGTTGTAGAGCTTCTATGGTTAGAAGACCTATGGATAGGAGGTCAACTAAAGGACTTCTTTGTCTGGAAGATATTTCAAAGGCCATTTATATATGCAAAGGATTTTAAAGGACTTCGATGAAGTTCCATGGATCTCTCAATTTCCGAGGAATGATTCCTTTATCTCCCGAGAAAAGTTGTAGAGCTTCTATGGTTAAAAAATCTATTTAAGTTCTTCTATGGATAGGAGGACATCTAAAGGACTTCTTTGTCTGGAAGATATTTCAAAGGACATTTATGTATGCAAAGGTTTTCAAAGGACTTCGATGAAGTTCCATGGATCTCTCCATCTCCGCAGGATTCCTTTATCTCCAGAGGAATGATTCCTTTTTCTCCCGAGAAAAGTTGTAGAGCTTCTATGGTTAAAAGACCTATTAAAGTTCTTCTACGGATAGGAGGTCATTCTAAAGGACTTCTTTGTCTGGAAGATAATTCAAAGGACATTTATATATGCAAAAGATTTTAAAGCACTTCGATGAAGTTCCATGGATCCCTTCATCTCCGCAGGATTCCTTTATCTCCAGAGGAATGATTCCTTTATCTCCAGAGAAAAGTTGTAGAGCTTCTATGGTTAAAAGACCTATTAAAGTTTTTCTATTGATAGGAGTTCATCTAAAGGACTTCTTTGTCTGGAAGATATTCCAAAGGGCATTTATAGATGCAAAGTATTTCAAAGGACTCCTATGAAGTTGCAATGACCTCTCAATCTCCGCAGGAAAGTTGTAGAGCTTCTATGGATGCAAAGTCTTTCAAAGGACCTCTACATATGATCTAAAAGACCCTTCAAAGAACTTCATGGATAAAAGGACTTTCAAAGGAATTCTAAGGGTAAACGGCTTTTAAGGACTCCTATGGATATATGGCTTACTACAGGACTTCGTGCATAAAGTAATTTCAAAGGATTTCTAAGGAAAGTAGACCTTTCCAAAAATTTCCATTAGGAGGACTTCAGAGGTTTGATGATCTTTTAAAGGAATTCTAATACCAGTAGAAGGCCTCATCACCAAGAGAGAAGAGAGTAGATTTCTATGAACAGATGACCTTTCGAGGAACTTTTATGAATGGAAAACCCTCCCTTAATCTTTTGTGGACCCTAGGCCACAATTCAAAGGACTCCTTTTTATGGAATATTTTCCCAAGGACTTCTATGGAAAAAAGGCATTTTAAAGGACTTACATATGATATAAATGCTTTTGAAAGGAATTCTAGGGTCAGAAGATCATTTAAAGGTCCCATATGGACAGTAGACCTAAAACAGAGTCATCTATAGACATAGAAGGGTCAATATTTTCTCAATTCCAACAAAAAGCTCTTGTAACCCTTACATATTATGGCATCCATGATTTGACCCTAAAAATTACATCTAGTGTCTTAAAATCGAAAATTAAAACTTTGTCAAGGAAAAGGGGGTTAATTGTTGCCAGCAAAAACATGTCATTGCTGTTGTTATGCCATTATCTCAGGTCGTCCCCAACGACTTCGTTTTGTGCTCTGTGACATATCCTTTTTGCGGCATTATGTCCTTCTCCATTAACTGCCTCCCAAGAGTACCCCGCACATTTCGAAGAATTATCTTCAACTCCACTTTAATACCTTCAATGTTTAATAAACAAATCCATAAACATTGGTTAACCAACGATTAGCCCCCCATCACTCCCATCCTTCCAGTTTCCGTAAATTTATATTGCAGCCAATATGTATTCCATTGAGGGTTACCCAAATCCAGAGCATGTAGATCTTTGGCAAATGGGTAAATAATGGATGATGCCATTTCCACGAGCCAATCGAAATGATGTGAAGTGATTTCGGAGAGGAGGGGAGTGGAGGGTGATGTTTAAATAAAGCAGAACATAAAGGTGTCGAACAACCTGACTGACAGCAATGCAATTGGGGAATGTTTAACGGAGAGGGGCAAAAACAGCAGCAATAATGCAAGAAGTATTCTATGGAAAGAAGATCCCTGAAATGAAATCCTATCGGACCTCAAGGCGCCTTCATGGGCTTCAGTGTTGACAAAACTTTTAAAAAATTTTCTAAAGTTATGGGGAGGTAGATTGGAGGCAATTTATATGAACGGAGGACCTTTTCTATGCTTTTTACAATCTAAGGACCTTTTATAGGCCTTCAAAAACCAGAAAACTTTTCGATTTTTTAGAATCTTCTAATACCAGTAGACTCTGAGAGGCCTCATCGCCAAGAGAGAAAAGAGTAGACTTCTAAGGACACTCAAGACTCTTGAAAGGACTTCAATAGATAGAGGTCCTTTCGAGGGACTTTTATGAATGGAAAACCCTTCCACAATCTTCTTTTGATCGTAGGCCACAATTCAAAAGACTCCTTTGTCTGGAACATTTTTAAGAGGAAAAAATGAATTTCAAACGACTTCTATGTATAAAAAGGTTTTCAAAGGGCTTATAGGAAAAGAAGTCCTTTCAAAGGACTCCCATGGATGGAGGACTTACAAAAGAACTTCCGTAGGCAATTCGAAGGACTCCTTTGTATAAAATATTTTTCAGGGGACTTCTATGGAAAAAAAGCAGTTTCAAGGGACTTCTATGAATAAAAGGGCTTTCAAAGGACTCCCAAAGGATCTCATGAAAAGAAGTCCGTTCAAAGGATTTATAAGGGTAGTAGACTTTACCAAAACCTTCCATTTAAAGGACTTCAATGGCCTCGGGATCGTTTAAAGGACTTCTATACATAGAAGAATTTCTAATACCAGATGACTTTTTAAGGCCTCACCACCAAGAGAGAAAAGAGTAGACTTCTATGGACAGAGGAAATTTCAAAGGACTTCAATGGAGATGAGTCTATTGAAGACTTTCCCATAATTTTCTGAGGACCGTAGGCCACAATTCAAACAACTCCTTTGTATGGAATATTTTTCAGAGGACTTCAATGGAAAAAAGGACTTCTATGAATAAAAGGACTTTGAAAGGTATTATATTCAAAAAAAGTCTTTCAAGGGCTCTTAGGGATAGAAGACTTACTAAAGGACTTCCGTAGGCAATTCAAAAGACTCTTTTGTATAGATTTGTTTTCAGAGAAGTTCTAGAGAAAAAATACTTTTTAAAGGATTTTTATGCTAAGGAGTCATTTTAAAGGACTTATAAGCAAAGTCCTTTCAAAGCACTCCTGTGGAGTCCTTACTAAAGGACTTCCTTATGCAATTCAAACTACTCCTTTGTATAGAATATTTTTCAGGGGACCTCTATGGAAAAAAGCCCTTTCAAAGGACTTCTATGGATATAAGGGTTTCAAAGGACTCATAAGTAAAGAAATCCTTTCAAAAGACTTCTATGGTTAGAAGACTTACCAAAGGATCTCATGGAAAGAAGTCCGTTCAAATGATTTTTAAGGGTAGGCGACTTTTCCAAAACCTTCCATTTAAAGGACTTCAATGGTCTGAGGATCTTTTTGAGGACTTCTATAGAAAATCTTCTAATATCAGTAGACTTTATAAGGCCTCACCACCAAGAAAGAGTAAGAATACATTTCTATGGACAGAAGAAATTTAAAAAGACTATTGAAGACTTTCCCATAATCTTCTGTGGACCGTAGGCCACACTTCAAAGGACTTCTTTGTATGGAATATTTTTCAGGGGACTTCTATGGAGAAAAGGACATCTATGAATAAAAGGACTTTGAAAGGTATTATATGCAAAAAAGTCTTTCAAGGGCTCTTAGGGATAGAAGACTTACTAAAGGACTTCCGTGAGCAATTCAAAGGACTCTTTTGTATAGATTTTTTTTCAGAGGAGTTTTAGAGAAAAAATACTTTTTAAAGGATTTATATGCTAAGAAGTCCTTTTAAAGGACTTATAGGCAACATCCTTTCAAAGGACTCCTGAGACTTACTAAAGGACTTCCCTAGGTAATTCAAACTACTCCTTTGTATAGAATATTTTTCGGAGGACTTCTATGGAAAAAAGGCCTTTTAAAGGACTTATATGCAAAGAAGTCCTTTCAAAGGACTCCTATGGATAGATGACTAACTGAAGGACTTCGTGGATAGAAGTCCTTTCAGATGATTTCAGATGATGAGGATAGTAGACCTTTCTAAATCTTCAATTTAAAGGCCTCCAATAGTCTGAAGATCTTTTAAAGGACTTCTATACTTAGAGGATCTTCTAATTCCAGTAGGCGTTATAAGGCCTCACTACCAAGAGAAAATAGAGTAGACTTCTTTGGACGGAATACCTTTCAAAAAATTGCAATGGATCGAAAGACCTTCCCATAATCTTCTGTGAACCATTTGAACTGCCTCAAAGGACTCCTTTGTATGGAATATTTTTAAGAGGACTTTTATGGAAAAAAGATCTTCTATGGATAAAAGGGCTTTTAAGGGATGCAAAAGAAGTTTTTTCAAAGGACTCCTATGGATAGAAGACTTAATAATTGACTTTCGTAGGCAATTGAAAGGATTCCTTTGTATAACACATTTTTTAAAGGACTTCTGTGGAAAAAAACCCATCAAAGAACTTTATGGATAAAGTGACTTTCAAAGGACTTCTAAGGATAAAACGGCTTTTAAGGACTCCTATGGATATATGGCTTATTAAAGGACTTCAAGCATAGAAGTCCTTTCAAAGAATTTCTAAGAAAAGTAGACATTTCCAAAAATTTCCATTTAAAGGACCTCAGTAGTCTGAGGATCTTTTAAAAGACTTCTATACTTAGAAGATCTTCTAATACCAGTAGAAGGCCTCATCACCAAGAGAGAAAAGAGTAGACTTCTATGGACAGATGACCTTTAGAGGTACTTTTATGAATAAAAACCTTCCCCTAATCTTTTGTGAACCGTAAGCCACAATTCAAACGACTC